AGAAGATAAAGAAAAAAAAGAGAGAAAAAACCAAACCGCTAAGATGCATGAACGTAATCTAGACAACAAAACTATGAATGGAGTACGGATTTCGCTGTGGAAGAATCAGATGAGGGGAAGAAAATTGAAACAGCACTGAAGATATTTGTGTTTATAAGGGGGAAAGGGAGGATTATCAAACGGAGAAGCTGAGTAGAGGTTGGGGGGAATTGACCAAAAAAAAAAAAAGTAAAAAAAAATAAATAAATAAAAACGTATAAAATTCCCACGGGTCGAGCGGAGAAGAAGCGGAGGTGCTGTTACGTATAATAAACCGTCCCATTCTGCGGCTGAGGATAATAATACGTCGTCCCAGGCGGCGTCATCATCCCTCCCATGCCCACTACACCCCCGGGCGGGACCCCCTGTTGGGGCGGCGGTGCAGAGTATGCCTGATTCTGCTGTGGCGGGTATGCGGAGTTTGCAAACTGCGATGTGTCGTAGTAATACACCGTGCCGTTTTGCTCATGTGCAAAAGTAGCAGATGATGCTTGTTCTTGATCTGGGGCGGGGTGTTGGTGGGTCGGCGACGGATGATGAGGGAGGGGAGGGCCCACGGAAAAGGGCATCTGCTGTGGCTGGGCGGCATAGGTTGCTGGTGGGGGTCCTGGCCGCACGGTTGTGGCATATGTTGGATATTCCGGGTTTGAGGTGGGGTAGAACATAGGCGCGGGTTGATAGCCCGCTTCCGTGTAGTATGTTTGCGGTTGGTAGGGATATGGTTGGAATGGGTGGGCGTGGATGGCGCGCTCGGGGATTTGAGATAGGGGCGTTGCGGAGGGCTGGGAGGCGTGGGAGGCACGGCGCCCGTGGGGGGCATACGCGTTGTTATCAGGTATGAACCCACCATTGACGGGGTGGGGAACTTGTTGACGGAAAGGCTGTTCCTGCTGTTGCTGGGGCGGGTTATATTGGAAACTGACGGGGGATTCAATGTCGGCTACTGAGACTGTTTTCTGTGGTCGAGGCTGATGCATGGGGATGTTCTGTGGTAGACGGTTTTCACGGAACTCCGGAGGTGGAGGCATTGGGTATTGTGAAGGGAGGGGAGGTGCTGTCATCTGTGGGACCATTGCGGGGGGTTGCGGAGCAAATCCTGATCCAAGTGGAGGTCTGATTGAAGGGGGTAGTCGCACTACCGGCTTCCTGCCTTCACCAGGCATTCCGCCAACACGAGAGATCGCCGAACCGACAGGGGAAGTGATGGCATCAGTTCCTCTCCCGAATGACGATCTGCGGCTCATTGCCACGCTAGGCGTATAGACGCTTCCTCCGTAAACACTCGTTCTCCTACCACCGCCACCATAGAAACCTCCCCGCCCTCGTTGACGGAATTGCTGATTCGGCCTCAGTGCTCTCGGAATAAAGATAAATGACCGCTCCGTGGACGGGAAAATGTATCGGGGTGGTTGCCCTGGGACGGATATCCTAACAGGCTTATCGCGACGGAGTGGAGGTCGATGCTGGGGGAGTCGAGTGTGTTGTTTCTTCGGAACAGCGGCGTAGGGGATGGGATTTTTCATTCCAGGAAGAAAAACAATGACGGGAACATTTCCCACGAGTACGCTGCTGGAAAAGGAGCGGTTTGGCGGCGATGATCGAGGAGCTGTGGGGACGGGCCTAGGCGGAGTGTGGAACGCGGTATGGTTAGGCACAGTAGCGGGAGGAGGGGGGATTGGGCGTGTGTCTTGGGCAACAGAGTCATGTAGATCATGCGCCCACTGTCCCGCAGTCACATCTGGTTTCGGAGCAGGGCGCCTAAAAGGGGGATTGAAAGAGTAAATATCAGCGTCTAAGTTCCCGTTGGAAGGGCAAGTAAAGGGAGTCCCAAAAATATATAATCTGAAAAGCGAAAATTCACCTTGTAGCATTGCTATCGACAATGAGGCCGTGGGAGTGTGTCTTGGGTTTGGTATTATTATTATTATTATTGTAGTTGTTGTTGTTGTAGGACGGCGGCGGCGGATAGCCATTTGGTGGGGAATTCGTACTCCGCTTGTCGTGGAGGAAGAATCTACCACGAGTAGGCACAAAGGCAGGATTCGAATCACGCTCCTTAATGTATTCATCGTGCTCGCGCCGCTTCCGTTCCGCAAATGTTTCTCTCCTGTATCCCCTGTTGTTGGCGGATTTTGGGGTGGCGACCAACTCGATCTTCATGTCATCAAAATGGATTTCTTGGACGCCTTCGGCTCCTTCGGACAACTTCAGCCCATCCATCATAGCCTCAGTATCAGACACTGTAGCGCCAAAGACCGGCTTGGCTGGAGAAATCGATTCGTCCCTGCGTTGATGCTGACCACGTTCACCACGCTGTTCACGCTGTTCACGCTGTTCACGATCGTCGCCATTCGTCGTCAGTACCTGTCCATTCGTTGATAACCTTTCCACCAGCCCGGTTGTGTCGTCCTCACTCATATCACTCCCTTCCTCGTCGGCGTCATCCTCGTGAGCTGAAATGGTTCCCTCGCTCAGAGAATCATCCTCCAAATCCCCGTCGATGGAGCCTTCTTCGTCGCCATCGTCCTCCCTCCTTCTCCGGCTGGCAATGCGGCTTCGACGGTGGGGAGCCATGTGCAGATGCAGTCACGACGGTACCCAAAAAGGAGTTTTTAATTCCCTGCTCGGAGCAGATGTGTGGAGGAGGTTAGCAGTGTTGGAGGGGGGTATATGGGAGAGGGCCTGGGTGAGGGCAAAGGCAGGGTGTTGTGTTAGGATAGCTAATGGGAGGCGTCAAGCTGACAGTCTGCTGATTTCGCTAAACGATCAAACAGGCAGAGAGCAGCACAGAACGGAGGACGCAGAACACGGGTATCCTGACCTGGCTGCTGTTAATATTTTCTTCTCATCATCATCATCTTCTTCTCTTCTGTTTCTTCTTCTTCGTCGTCCGTCGTCGTTGTCGTCTTCAAATGTTCGTCGCAAAACAACTCCGAGGGGGAGCTAGCCTCAATGCAGCCTAGCGTAATGTTTACATAAGACACTCAACTTCAAGAAAGGAAAAAGAACAAGAAAAAGAAAGAAAAAAAGAAAAAGAATAAGAGATAATTATGATGAGATGAGGATTGAGGAAAAGTGAAGTCAAAAATGATTTAATTTATTATCTGAATATAGGGAATGAATGAGTGGAGTGAATGAATTAAATGCTGCCGCAGAAGGGATTAAACAAGCACACACATACACACACACATTCTCTCTTACAGCTTCATATCTCTATATAGCTGTATCATCCAGTCCACTGCAGTCAACAGCTGCTGGAGATAAAAACGAACAATTTATTTGGATATTGTGTCATTCTAGGAAGTATTGATTCACTGCGTATATGGCTAATGACTACCAAACAAACGGGATGTTCCAGGTACTCTCAAGAATACCTAACCCACCACCAAAACTCTAGATAGATGGCAGGCAGCTGGGGCCGCAACTCAAAGTAAGTAACTAACAGTGGAAGACCTTCTGATTTCATGCAATAAATGGTCCGTCTATGAGAAACAAACCAACTCCCAGAGCAAAGAGCTCAACAAATAAATACAAACAGATAAATTATCAAATAACCAAGGAAGAAAAACACCTCAGTCAAACGTAATCTTCTTTCCCAGCGGCTCAACAATGGCTCCACTAAGTCTCTGGACAACATCCTGCGTATACCGGCATCCACTACTAGCCGCCCCTTTGCCGTAACTCCCCTGACGCTTCCCAGCCCGTGGTGGAAACGCCTTAGTCTTTCTCTCAGACACCTCCTCAATAGCAGGCGCTTCACTGTCCCCGCCCTGTCTCCAAGACCCTCCAGATCCCCCAGCAAATTTATCTTTCGCCGCCCCCTCTTTGCCATACCGCTTTCTATATCGCGTAGCCTTGTCCTCTGCAAACTCCATCCGCAGCGGACGGCCCAAGATCCGGTTCACCCATACCTTTTTCATCCGTGGTTTTTTGTTTTTCGTCTTTGCATGGTTATTTTTGGTTTTCTCGCTATCGTTTTTATTGTTGGGCTCCCTTTCCTCCTCTCTAGCAGCATCTGAATCTCCCTCTTCCTCCAACTCCTCATCTTCATCTTCCTCCTCAGGCACCTTCACAAACCCCCTCACCGCAGCTTCCGCCCCATCAATGCTCTCAAACTCAACCCACGCATAACCCTTACACTTTCCCGAATCCTCAAACGTCGCAACATGTACACTCTCAATGCTGCCACAGGGTTTAAAATGCTCCTCCAAAATCTCCTTCGTCACATCAAACCCGAGATTCCCAACAAATATCCGCTGTGAGGGCTCCTTGCCAGGGGCTGCCATGGACGAATTATTCACCCCCCTTCCTCCTGCTGCAGATTCACCACCCTTCGTCCTCTCAGGGCGTCCCGCATAACTCTTCGCATTCTTAATCAACGCCCGCCGACCATTGATCAACTGCTCACTCATGGCAATAGCCGTCTCCATAGCCTTACTGGTTGAGAAATCCACGTAGGCAAAGCCCTTATTTTGAGCCTTGCCGTTCTGCTTTGCGCCATCGGGCAGGTGTATGCGGGTGATATCCTCATTTGACAGGGTGCCAGAGCCCGTGAGGAATTTTCTGATGTCACTTTTCTTCGCGGTGAAGGGGAGGTTGCCTACCCAGACGCCGTAATCGGAGCGTTTGGAGGGTTTCTCTGTGTGTTCGGTGGGTTGAGAATTGGGTGCCAGAGTTGTTGCAGTTGGATTTGAATCTGTGACAGGCTCTGTTGAAGAAGGCAATGAGGGTTCTACGGTTTGCAAAGCCGCTGATTTCTTTTTGGCTTTTCGAAGCGCCTTCTTTGATGGAGGTTCTGGCGCGGACAGGTCGATTTCCAGGGCAGAGCCATCATCCAGCTTGCGCTTGCGGGTAGCTGTTGGTGACTGCGAGTGTGATGGCTCCTGGAGGCCGGGCATTATATTTATTTATTATATACGCAGGATTGCACTGTATAGGTACAACCACTGAATTATATCCATAGAAAAAAAATAGAGTAGTCGAACTTGAAAATCAGAAACTATCCCATACAATAACTGATACTCACCGTTAGTTGAGTTGAATTGAAATTGTTCTCTCTTCTTTTTCGTCGCTTGGCAACAGAAAAAAGTTACTTACGGGGTGCTGCAGTGACCTGTAGTGCACCCCCTTCGGGCAGCTGCTTTTGAACAATTTCAGCCGTGTCAATGACACTCACGGACATTCAAGGATGCTCAACATCTCATCTTCGAGAATTCCACTCAAGAACTGACCTATCAAGCTCTTACCTCCACCCTCGCCTATTTACTGTCATTGCCTACACAGTCCTATGCCATGGCGTCTCTTCAGCCCGCGTCGCCGTCCCCGGACCGGAGCCTGCCAGATGCGCCGCCAGTCACCCTCCAGACTACATACAAATCTTTCAAGTCAGTTATTCCATATATTCGGATCATTGCACACTCTATACGACGCTGTTGCTAACGCTTCCCTTGTTACAGGAGAAAGTACGCGAAGCAAAAGATTGGTTTTGAACTGGCGATGAAGACAAGCAATGCGCTCTTCAAAGAGGAACTAAGGATTCGTGACCTCTCGAAGCGACTCAAGGAACAGAATGAGTACGAGTCCGAACCTGGAAAACCCCTTGAACTGCTATTATACAGTCTTGCTTACCCATTTTTCAATTCGTTTCGTTCAATAGTCAGCTCCTGGAAGCTCTGCTAGAGCTCAATAGCAGTATCCGCGTGCCCCCAGAACTCCGATACAACCTCGATCTCCCCGGCTCCAAACTTCCCAAACTACACTCTCCAGAACCAGAGCACAATCCCCAAGAACCCTGTGGTGTGGAGACGGTTCGTGAGGCACTGCGGGTTGCTAGAGAGAGGCTCCTGGCAGGGGAACTCAAGCCAGAACAATGCCGTCGCCTCGAACAGTCTCTCATTCAGCGCGAGGAGTTCGCACCCGCGGTGCAGTACGCCTCACTCCTGAAGGTGCCACATACCAGATCGAGCGTTAATGGAGATCACCCTGCCACGGAACACGATATGGGTTCAGCCCTGGGATTTCTAAACCCGGAGCATGAAAATGAATACTGCGCCGCTCTCGATGCAGCTGCCGCGGGAGAACCGAAGCCGTCAGCGGAAGCGGGGAAAGCATCATCTCTGGCAGCTGCAAGCAAGGACAGGGAGATAGCTATCCGGAACCCGGTGTCCGTGATAAATTGGTTGAGGAAACATCAACCGCAAGTTTTTCTTCACGATGCTGATGGCGTGACTGAGAAGCCCCCTCCCCGTTCTAACAATCCGCGTAGTTCGAAGCGAGCGAGTACCCATGCGCGAAAGGAGGAGGATGTATATGATGAAGATGGGATACTGATTGATGTGCAGGTTGGCGGTGGAGGAGGAGGTGCTGGTGGCGGCGGAGGAGGAAGTCGAGGAAAGAGAAAACGAGACGAGGATGGAGGCTATCGACCTAAAGGCGGCAGTGGTGGCCGCTCGAGGAAGAAAAAGGAAGATGCCCCAAAGCGTGCAAAGAGGACTTCAGCCGCTGGAAACGGGACGTGATTTTAGCCCCTGTCCATCCGTTCATTGAATTCCATGAAGTCCGCACAATTCATACAGTTCTAATTCGATCTATTCATGCCTTTTCCATTTCCCCTGTGTACGGTTATGTTTTCTTTCTTTTCCTTGCCGACAATGCATTGTATTTTTACCCTCCTTTTTCTCTTGCGTGGTCTGTTATTACTTTCTCTCTTGCATAATCTAGAATGCCCTAGAATAGCCTCTGTTGTTTGTGGAATCCTCAAGATCTCTTTGTTGCGTTTTTGATTTTTTAACAAAAGCAACAACTATCGGAAGTTCTTGCGAACTCCCCCATGGCCTCTCTTTTCCTTTCTCTTTAGGTGCTCCTCCTCGACAGCTGGTCATACCCTCATTCTTTGTTCGCCCTTCATGAATAAATACCTTTTCTTTTCAAGGGAACCTGCTACAAATACCATAGCTAATGCCTAATTTTCTGTCAGTGCCTAGGATATCTGAGTCCGCCAACGATTTATATTCCACCCACCTTCGAAAAGCAGCGCAGCAGTTTGTGCCGTTAAAGTACAAGCACCTTGTATAAACACAAAAGCAGTTAACTAAAAGTATGCGGACACCCAGGTTGAGAACCCAGACCTCCATTCCCAGAGGCGTTTCTGTGGCATGTATTCCACAGCGTAGCAACAGCATTGCTCTACTGCGTGCATGCCCATGAAGAACCATATTGGAAAGCGAGCTGGGAGGAGATCATACACAAGGATGTGAAGCCAGGAAACAGTATGCAATGGACATCTCTCGCTGTATAGAAAGAGAATTGCCTCTCACTCTCAATACTCGTTCTCTCATCACTGCCCATGTCCTGACTAACCTGCCTGGCTATCAGTTCTCTTGGGTGCGGCGCCGTCGCGCGACAGCGAGGAGCTCTATTCGAATTGCTATCTAGGGGACTTCGGTACATCTAAACAGTCAATCTCTCACAAAATTAAATTGCATTAGCCCTGCTAACGTGAGCATAGGTTTGGCCTACACCATCCCCAACGAGGATGTCCGCGCGTACAAGAAGGGCTACCCCGGGAAAGGTGCAGAGGTTTTCTTAGCTCCGGTAAGACGGAAGATATCCCCATTCCCCTATCAAAATGAAGGCTTGAGAATAACATCGCCACACAGGAAGCTCTGAAGTCTACGCGGTGGGCGAAATCGGACCAAAAGTAGACATCTACTCTCTCACCCTCTCCATTCGCGAGGCCATCGATAATGCGCTGATCATCTACGCCACAGACGAAATGACTACCCTCCGCAAACTCCCCGATGGTGAGAAATATCTCCCCTATTCCCCTGACCTGATTAAACTCTGCCGCGCAGGTAGATCCAACTGGACGCACAAACGACTCAATATCTACTCCCTGTGGAAGGCGACTGGCGAACAGGCGTGTAAGTGGAAAGCGAAAGTTATGGAGAATAGACGGCTGGCGTTTCAGTACAGAAAAAGTGCTACGATGGGATGGTGTTGCTGGATGAAGAGAGTAGGCTGCGGTTTTAAGAGAGATACGGGGTTTCGGGGGTTTTTTTTTCAAGGGAAGCCTCCTGGAGGCATGTGAATTGGGGATTGGTTAGGCTCGGGAAGGACATCATGAGGAGGAATGGAGGTCACAAAGAGGGGGGGATGAGTGGGGGTGGGGCGACGGGAGTGAGACGAAGCCTAGTGGAAATGATGAAGCATTGGCGGATAGGAATATCGCTGGGTTGTCGACGAGAAGAGGAGGAGGAGGAGGAGGCCTGGGGCTGGATGCTGCGTCTGAAGGGGCGGAACATAGGGGAAATGTGAGCTGCTGGAGTGGGTAAAGAAATGAAATGAAAATGAAAGGGGCTTGTTATACTTTGGATACACTTTTTAACTAGTTATTGTATTGGCATCTTGGACTAGAAGGTTTTGTTTGAGCTATTGCATGTTTTTTTCTTCGCGGCTAGTCGCATCCTAACTCCCTAAGTAATGACATCGTATGAACGAAGATAGGAAATTCCTGGAACCGTTCATTGCAGGTTCTCTGCCTAGTTGGAGCGATACTTTCTTCAGTCAAGTTAACCAAATCCCGAAAGTATCAACACGAATTTCCATCTTATGATTCATTTAACTCATGTCGAATAAAGAAAACCAATCAACACACACCCCTTTTTTTTCAGCCTTGGATGATCTATGGGGCGGGGCTCATAGTATGCTCTATTCCTCAAACCGGGTTGATTGCCCTTTGCAAAGGTAACGCTTGTATATCATAGTTGGGTCGTGAGCCTGCTAGAGCGGGATAACACTTTCGTCACGACGCATGGAAAGAAAGCGCACGGCATCGATGAGTTACGGCGCCCTCTGCTGGCATGAAGATCTGCCACTCCCCGAGAAACGAAAGCTGAACAAAGTCTTGTTGAACTTACAGAGAAAATTCGGCAAGGAGAGTTGAAGATGGGGGTTCTCACGTCAACCAGGGGAATCCTTAAGTTCATTTGGTTCCTCTATAATCCGTGATATGACAGCAATAAGATAACGACTGTCGCGAAGGTTCGCCGGATCATTAACAGTTGGACAGATATTGATAGATACGAGAGAGACTGGAAGAATGCCTCTTGGGGGAAGAAGCATGAGAAACTGCTGGCAATTAAACGGATCAATCCGATGAATTTGTTTGTATGCAGCGTTGGGACAGATATTATCTTAGAGTCGTGAAAGCATCGATTGCTGTTCAAATGAGGGCATTATACCAATAGCAATATTAAGCAATGTTTTTCATGAAAAAAATAAAAAATAAAAAAAAAAATAATAAAAAAAAAGGTTCAAAGTTGTCTAGGGGAGTTTTGAGTTGACTCGAAACTAGAGAACAAAAAAGGGGTAATTGAGCTGTAGATATCACGTGGCACTCACTGTAGTTAGACCAAAATCTTTCAATTACTTTATATTTTCTCCACTCTTCAACTGACATATACAGCATGCAATTGTCGAACTGAGTTGAACCACCATCTATCAACGCCAGGGAGGTATTTATGTAGGTGTGCCGCATATACTTTGCATGACGTTCTACGGATAAAAGAAGACAAATCCGAAAGCTACGAAACAGAATAAAAATTCACCCGAGCCAAGGAAACCAATGGTAATCACCATACTCCCTCCCTCTAGGCCGGAGGAGCAATTCGACTCTTCAGACGACGAGTCAAGAGACTCAGAAGGTGATGTTGACATGTCCGGGGACCATTCGCGGCCTGCAAATCGTCTCCGCCTCTCAAAGGGCGCAATAGTCACGCCGGGAGAAGTGATAACGGATGATCCCCAATGGATGCGGTATGTTTTTACTGCAATTGGTGCTCTACATTTTATATACTATACCTACAATTCATCCCATTGCCATCACGAACTATACTGTTAACCCTCGCTGATAACACGCTGTCCCAATCCAGAGGCCACGGCACTTACACCCGCTCCGCGCATAACCCATACTCCACCACCACCACCACCACCACCACCACCGCCACCAACCCCTCCGCAACATCCAACACAATCATAGCCACCGTCGCCGGCACAGTCCTAAAAACCAACAAACTCCTCTCCGTCCAACCGCTACGAGCCCGCTACACCCCCGAAATCGGCGACCTGGTCGTCGGGCGCATCGTCGAAGTCCAATCGCGGCGCTGGAAGGTCGATGTCGCGGCCCCCTTGCTTGCCCAACTGCCTCTGTCCGCCATAAACCTGCCAGGCGGCATACTGCGCAAACGCACCACTGCCGACGAGCTGCAGATCCGCTCATTTTTCAACGAGGGAGATCTGTTGGTTGCGGAGGTGCAGGCGGTGCATCAGGATGGCGCTGCATCGCTGCATACGCGCTCGCTGAAGTATGGGAAATTGCGAAATGGGGTGTTTTTGACCGTTGCTGGGATGGGTGCGGCCGGTGGGGTGGTTCGGGGGACCGGGGTGGTCAGGTCGCGCAGGCAGGTGTGGACGCTCACCGCGGGGAATGGGGGTGGGGAGATTGATGTCATATTAGGGGTGAATGGGTATATTTGGATTTCGAAACATGTTGTTGGAGACGGGTTCGGGGTTGACGCTGCTAGCAGTGGGGAAGTGTCGATTACGCGCATGGATGAGATGGTTAGTAGTGCGATTTACTCGAGTCAGAATGACGAGATTGGGCTGGCGACGCGGAGGGAGATTTCCAGGCTCTGCGGGTGCATTAGGGTGCTTGTGGAGGGTAATGTGAAGGTTGATGAGGACACGGTCATGAAGGCGTATGAGGCGAGTATGGAAATTGAATTGGAGGTTGGCGATGACGGGAGTGTGGGAGAGGGCGGAGAGGGAAGAGAGTATTTAGGTGGTGAGAAGGCGAGGAGAGTTGTGAAGGCCGCATTGAGGCCATAGTAAACTTCGAGCTAGAAGGGATACTTTCAGATTCAATATGCGCTATATACTCGCATGAGGATATATATATATATATATATACACCATCCCAGCAGAGGGCCCAAAAGCATAGACAGGCATCTGAAAATCAAGAGTGACTCAACCCCACCCCCCTCCATTAACTCCTAGGAAATATAATATTTATTAAGCTTCCTAATACACAATCCGATATCACGCGCTAGAAAACAGCACAAGAAGGTATCCATGAATAACAACCTCATCAAAACAAGAGGGGGAAAAGAGCACGTAGTGAACGGTGATAAAACAAAAACACAAATATCTACATACCAATATCGCTGACCTCCAAGCCCCAGCCATCCCGATCTATCCGGGTAAAAATAAAAAATTACTAAACACCCCTATAACTTCAACACTGGCACAACCCCAGTCCACTCGCCCCTCGCCCTCTCTTCCCAATACCCATCCTTCCCCGTCTTCAATTTCCAAACCGTCTCCTTCTCAGCACCGCCACAGCCAACCTCCTCAACCCGCACAAACCACCTGGGCCTCCAAATCTCTCCTCGTCTCTCCATATCCTTCCTCCTCTCCCTCTGCTTCCCCTCCAACTGCACCTTAAGTTCCTCCGCACGGTCCACATCCCCTTCTTCCAGCGCCTGCTGGTCCGGACGCAACCGACTATCCGTGATAGGTATTTTCCCCTTCTCGATCGCGGTGGTTTCGTTCAGCGTGACAGCAAAGGATGTAAAGCCGTAATTTTTCGCAGGATTATCAACAAGAGGACCAGCAGCCCACATAGTTTTGTTGGTCTCTGCGCCGTGTTCCGTCAGCTGGAGGGAGGTAGTCCAGGTCCCCTGGAGACCGAGGGGTAATTCCCCACCATGCGTGTCGAAGGCCTTGACGACAACTTCTTCGCTACGGCCCGAGAACATGCCACCGGCTTTGAAGGTGGTTATTGTCTTCTGGCCTGTGGTTTCATTCACCACACACAATTCGCCGACAGGCTCGACATACTTTTCGCCCGCAATGATGTTGCGCAGGAAGCAGGTGACCGGGGACCAGCTGAAGTGCTCACCGCTAGAATGCAAGGTTAGTCGGGCTGTGCCATCCGTGATGATCTCAGCGGACTTTCCCCAAAATTTTTGCGTGGGTTTGGGTGACTGGGAGAAGCTCCAGTCTTTGGAGTCAGCTTGATACGCCAATTGTACGGGTCGATGGCAGACTTTCTCAGCGATTAAGCGGAAGCCACGGTCTTCGCGGACTAGTTCGAAAGTTTCCCCGAGCATTGGATTGAATGGTTTGCGGATGGCTCGCTCTTTGATCCTTGAGTTGGAGAGCGAAGAGAGAGCGAAAGCTGTGACATAAATTAAACGTTCAAGGCCATCTGTGGCACTAGCGGCAATGTCGAGCAGCTGGGAGTATTCGAATTGTTCGGCTAAGCGCTGAAGCAGTGACAGCGGTTCATTGGCGGAAACAGGCATAGATATAGTCGACAGGTCCTTGCCTACGTTTTTGCGGAGGAAGCTTATCAAACTTGGCGGAAGGACCCTGGGAGCTGGTATTTTGGCTCTCCGTGTGACCTGATTCAGGGGCAACGGTGCCAGTGATCTGGGTTTAGCAGGAAACAAAGTAGAGGAACTATCCAAACGGAACCCGTTGTTTGTGAAGGCGTCGGCCTCGTCCACTTCGCTTCCAGAGAGGGACTCATCATCTCCGTCTGCAGTTACAGGAGTTTTGCTCCTTGCATCTTCATCATCGCTGTCTCGCTGAATGGTCAACAACGGTGAGAGATTCCCGTCCCTTGCATCAAAAAATTCCTGGGATGCCTCAGACTCGAAACTCGGTCGGGGTTTAATGTGAGTCGTTTTAGCTCCCATTTTATGTCTTTTATCCTGAATTAGCGTAGAAAACTCGGACACCACAATATTAAGTTCCCGGAGGATAATCATCAAATCATCATGTACGGCTGGCTCCCAGGCAGCTGTCGCATGCCCTAGCGGTTTGGAGGTCACAGGCACAACTGCGCTCGAGGGAGGAATATTAAGTTGAGAAGAAACATTACGTTTTGCGGTTTGGCAAGGATATGTGCTACTATTATCCCTAGGCTTCAATTTCCAAAACGAGCGCTTATCCCTGCTCTCGCTGCTGGCATCATCTGCACCGATTCCCGCTGGCGATGGACCTGGTATGGCAGACGGGGGGGGGCTCTGCGCGCGTTCCAGACGGTTGGTGTGGGTAACCAAGTATTTAGGGTCCGTATCCCTGGCCAGACGACGCACCATATCCCTTGCGTTGGATACCTTTTGGACAAGAGTCTCCACTTCAGCCCATTCGCGAACATCGCTCACAACACTGCTGGCAGGGGGCAGATGCTGGGTGATGTGTTTTGGCCTGGGTTCTGATAGCCCGCCATCTTGAACTTGAGCCGCCTTCTCCAACGCGCACTTCCACGATAGAAAGTCATTGTCGCTAGAGGCGCGGAGATGCCAGATCTCCACTCCAGAGTCAATTGATATTTCTTTGGTCTTGTCATTGGTCGCAATTACAGCCAGAATCAGGGGGATTGCACCCCGTAGGGCAGATGAATTACGGTCATGGTAATAAGACAAAGTAGAGGAGCTAGAGTCAAGAGAGAAGAAGCGGCGGGCGTATCCCTGGTGACGCTTCCTTCTTCTCTTCTGTAGAATTCCAGTGTGGACGGTCGCAGGAGAGCTCTTGGAGGAATCTGAGCTGTGTGTTGGAAGTCGACTGTTGGCCTCAGCACGGCCATGTCGCAGCGACTCTGTTGACTCCGATGCAGTCGGGTTTAATGCTGGATGACTCAATCCTGGTTGCAAATTTCCCAAGGACACTCCAACCACCTGCGAATGGTGAACCTGGTGCCCCGAGCGTGGAGGTGCATGAGACGGGTAGGTCAGAAGAACAAAAGTTGCGGTTTTGGAGATCTGCTTTGAAAACGTATTGTCGAATACAAGCGCATAGTTTCCTCCTTCATGCGGGCCCACGTCGTAGGTTCCCTGGGAGATCTTGTCTGCCTCGCATTTCCCGATCCACTGGATGGGCTTCAGACCAATATTCTTTAGTTTCTCCATGACAAGGGATGACGAGTTGGCAGCCTTAGTATTCTCCTTGTAGGTATCGGTAAATTCGGCGGAAAGGGATTCGGTAGGCGCAGAGCTGTCGTAGCTACTAGCAACATTTCCGGAATGGCCAGGATGCTTGAAGATGCCGAAGTTGAGCGACTTCTTATGTGGTTGGATGCTCCATGAGAGCGTATGTTCAGATTTGACATTGATCCACCGTACAAGATATGACTTGTTAAAATAAAGGCAGGTGGTCAACTAACTGGCTGCCAGAATTCAAAACAAAGAGGGGTCTTGGTGAGGTGGCTGAGGTGGAGGGGTGTGTGTATACCTACTTTACTGTTAATCTCCAGCTCCTCCATTCCCGCCATGTTAACTTGTGGAATGGTACGGGACGCGAGACTCAGCGCTCGCGCCCTTGCAGTCGTAGAGAGTAGTATTCAGGAGGTGTAGATGTCTATGGCTCCCCGACCTTTACACACGGTATTCAGGATGCCGACGACAAAGAGATATGCGCATGGAGGAGACCAGGCGGACGAGGGAGAGTGTCGATCTCAGCTATGCGCCGTGCCAACCCCCGGGGGGGGGTTAGGCTAAGAATAGTGAAATGAGGTGTTATTTCTCGCGTACACAGTCAGCGCACAGCCCTACAGCGGCGAGAACACGGCGATGTCGCCAGCTGTAGCGGCAGGCGGCGGGCGGCGGGCAGTGGAGAGAGAGAGAGAGAGAGAGAGAGAGAGAGAGAGAGAGAGAGAGAGATAACTGCGGAAGAGACCAAAGATGCATGCAGCCTTTTCAAGTGTTTTATTGGAAGGCTTCAACTTGGCGCTTCGGGGAGGGATCACGGGACCGAGCCCTGGCTGGGTTCCGTGGCTCTGATTGGTGGAGCCTTATTATGTCAGCGCCCTCTGCTCCTCTGGTTTAGCCCGGGCCCCTTAACAAATCTCTCATTTGGCCCCAGAACTATCCAAGATGCGAACTCTGCTGCAGACGCGAAGGATCGGAGCAGGCTCTGGGATCTCTGGGAGACTGGGCAGTCGACGTCAGAGCTGTGGGCTAACGGGTCTGGAATCCAACTGCGGGTTCCCCCCCCCCCCCCCCCCCCCCCCCCTGGGGAGCCCGGGGGGTCGGGGACCTGAAGTTTTTTGGAAATCTTGATTCGGAGGGGGGTACTTTCACGAAAAAATGCTTTTTTTCCACAACCCTTTCCGTTATTTTCACCTTTGATTTCAGACTTAAATCCCCGGCCCCCCAGCGGGTTCCGTCTCTCAAAGTATGAAAAACGCGCCTATCCTTCTTCCACCCTGGGGAAAATATGTAGCCCCCTTTTTGTTTTTGTCTTCGCAAAAAAAATGAATT